GCTCTTAAGCAGCTATATTAGGAAAATGGTCCAATAAATGCAAATAAATTTTCAAGGTCTTACAAAAGTGGCTTCCACCAGCTTATTCAGGCCTTGTTACTGTTGATGCTGTACACTTGAGCCCAAAGAAACCAGTGTATTAACTTCCATGTGTTAATCACGTGTGTAAATCTAAATAATCTTTGAAATTTTTGGAAGATTTGACACCTTTCAAGAACAAGCATTTGCAGCAGCTGGTGTACCACCTGGGACACAGAGAGCTATTGGCAAACCCAAGTTTTTCTGTCCTTTTCAGCAATGGTATGATCCACAGAGACATTTTATGGATCAAGATCATACTCAAAAGCAGTGGTTAGTGAGCCAGACACACGCATTACTCCTTTCTCATCTCATGGGGCATGGACTTCTAGCATATTGTTCCTTACCATGATGGGAGGTTTGTATTCAGTCTTCATGGTTTTTGTTTTATAGTAAGTAGATTCCTAAGTTCCTAAGTCTGAAAAGATCAGATTCACTATTAAAAAACATAGTACTCCATCATCATCTCTGCATGAATTCATCTTTAATTATGAATTTGACAACCAGTATATATGCATAGGATAGCAGAGCAGAGCCATACACACTGAAGTGGGTTCCCACGACAGCTGCCTGTTGAAGAGTAGGATGACTTTGTTTCTTTACTCTGCAACTTCTAAGTTTGTGTCAAGTTCAAGTGTTCCCTCCATTGCTTTTGAATTACACACACACAGACACACAGACATAGACACACACAAAACACCCCAAAAAACCCCACCCCAAAACAAAAATAATAACAATAACAAAAACCAAAACAAAAAAATACCCACTGAACCAAACCAAAAAAACAAAACGAAACCAAACAAAAAAACAACCCTCACAAACAAACAAAAAACCAAACACAAAAAGAGCCCACATTTGCCTAGTGAATGTTCAAATACAGCAAATCTTATTATGGTTGAGAAATAATAGTTTAATTGGGATAGCAGTTTTCTTCAAGTCTTAACAAAATGTATTACTTAGGGAAGAAATTGGCAGTACAGATGTACTCATGGAAATCCTACACACCTTTATGTACATTTATTTCCTATGCTTATACATAGATGTATGTTAGTGACTGTATACATGTGGGTTTTGCTTTTCTGTGTATAGGGTATAGCTGAAAGGAGATATGACATTTTAGATGCTTTTACTTTGCCACAGAATCAGTACACAGTATTCTCTGCTTATACAAACTATGACCCAATACCTGACCTAGGGTTAAAACTTCAATGAATGTTCAGATATGCAGATATTAGCTTTTTTTTTTTTACCTGGTCAGGTATGTTGTCAGTTCCTCATAATTTGACTGGAAGCCAGACATATTCCACATTGGACAAAGGATGTCTATGTGTCCAAACACAAATAAAAAAATCCATTGGGGTTTTGGTCAACAGCAATGTATTAAAATATAATATACATAAACGCATAAAACATCTCTATGACTGTAGAGATTATAGTTCCTATTTCGGCTTTGTCCATATTTTGAGGAAAATTATTCTTACTCCTGGGATTAAAGTATGCATTTCACACTCATTTTCATCAGGCTGGATTTTTATACACAATTTCTAGTTACGCTGGGTTTCCTCTAAGAAGGTAGGACAGTAGGTCACGAATGGCCTGAGTTTCACTAACCTGACAACTTAAGCAATCAAATACTCCTCTATTGTTAAATTCTGTTTAGATTGACAGACCAAAAAGAGTCATTAGGGAGGTGATATTTTTTTATTTACTTAATTATGAGAATAGAAGCCAGGTTAGGTCATCTCTGCCGTCTCTCTTTTCATTGGTAGAAATTCATGTAGTTTATAATTTCTTAATAGAATGGCAAAGAGTTAACACATACTCCTTTATAGCAGAAGAGTCTCACGTGTTTTCTCTGTTTTAGAAACTCACAGAAATATTACCACTAGCATATAATTAAAAAGACTGATACATCCTTAGGGTGTAGCCTCTGCCATAATCTTTTACAAAATAACAGCACAAATCCCGATTAAACACTTTTCATTAATTTTCTTTTCATAGTCTCCATTTTTAGAGTAGGAAAAAAGAATGTAAGGTAATTATTTGAAAAGATAAAATACTGCATGCTGTTTTGCAGAAACTGCATGGTAACTCTAATAGAACATCTTAATTCTGTAGGAAACCAAAGTAACTGAGTAATAAATTGTGTCATCTCTGTCTCTCAATTTATCTCTTGATAGATTTCAAAGATCTCACTAGACACTATTTTTATTGAATAAAGTGAAATCACCATGAGAAGTGCTGCTTCATTTTGTATTTTCTTGTGACAGCAAGATTGTTCCATATTCTTAGTATAATTGAGACAGCAAACAAGTGGCATTACAGGAACAATAACACTGGAAATTGTTCTAGGTTTGAAAGTAGTTCCAAAGGGTTTCTTAAAGGTGGAACTACACACACCATAAGTACTCAGGCATGTAACTGTAAGATGAACAGAGAGACATATAGTCTCTCTGAATATATGAATATATAGTCTGGAAAAGAAGTCTGGAATTCATCTAGCCCATTGTACTCAGAGCAGGCCCACTGTAGAATAGATTTTGGCAGCATCATCTTTAAATCTAAAGAGAACTGACATGTCAGATCAGTTCTATTGAGAGTATTAAAGAGTAAATTATTTTCCCATAGTCAGCTGATCCAGGGAACATGAGAACATTACTGAAGTGTTACAATACTAATGAGGAGTAAAACAACTGAGAAATTGCTACTATTGTCATGTTGCTTCTGAGCTACAGTATAGTAAATAGATAAAAAATTACCTTGTGCCCAGAAGTATTATCCAAGCCAACAGTAAAAAAAAAACATAGAAGCTATTACTGTTTGTTAAGAAACAAAACATAAGTATCCCCATGTACCAGATGAAGTATTTTTTGACTTGTTCAACAGAACATGCATTAAAATAGCTATCCATTCTACAGTATAGAAGCTGAGAGCTTCTGAGATACTTCAATCCATTCTCCAGATGAGAGAACTAAAATAATTTCTGATTAGAGGTAGGACCTTTTCCATTGTTTTGGAATGTTTGAGATACACTATTAATGGGAGAAATCCAGATGATCTTAGAAAATGGCATGGAATAGTAGTTTGTTATAGGCTTTTTATAGATTTGGCTGCTTCTCTTCATGTTGTAAAAAGACAAAAACAAAAATGTCTGGAACACAGATCAGTAAAATGGCTGTTAGTTCTAACTGGTCATTGGGTACAAAAATACGAGAAGATAATAAAAACTATAAAACATCTGCTCTTATATGAGATCGTACTCCAGATATTGTCAGAGTGGACCAGAGTTGAAAGTTAGTCCAACTTTTTGCTTCTACTTGATCAAAAGCTAAAATGAATAGAATTGAAAGGATTAAGGTAATTCAATAAACTTTTGTCTTGACTTTTCCATACATTTGTCCTTTATGTCTTGGAAATGTAAGTGACCTTGCTATAAATATATGGTAACGAGCATCTTATAAAAAATCTATATACATACCTCTGGTTTCTATATGATAGTGGCATTTACATAACCTCCAGTGCATTGCTCAATGGAGGCTAACAATGATATGGAAATAAGGACTATAAAAATGGTGTCTTTGAGATATAAACTTTAATGAATACATATTTTTAAAATTCACTCCTTTATTCTGTGTAGATTTCAAATAGCTGCTGGTCCCATTCATGACTAAAATTTGCTTCATACTGAAATACATATACTCCTAGAAATGCATGGGTCAGAAGGGATCTTAAAGATCATCTAGTTCCCAGCCCCTTCCACTAGACCATGCTGCCCTGTCCAACCTGCCCTCAAACACTGCCAGGGATGGAACATCCACAATGTCTCTGGGTGCCTGTATCTCACCACCCTGACAATAAGGAATTTCTGTCTAGTATCCAATCTAAACCCACCCTCCTTCAGTTTAAAACCATAACCCCTTGTCCTATGCATACAGGCCAATGTAAAAAGTCCCACTCCAGATTTCTTGTATCATTTTTCAGGTATTGGAAGTAAGGTGTCAGCAGTAAGGTTTCCCCTCAACCTCCCTTTCTCCAGGCTGGATGAACCCATGTCTCTCAGCCTGTTTTTATATGAGAGGTCTTTCAGTACACACCATCTTCATGACCCTTCTCTGGACATGCTCCAGCAAATCTGTGTTGTCCTTATGTTAAGAGCCCCAGCGTGAGACACACTACTTCAGGTTGAGTCTAATGAGAGCAGCTGAATGGGAAAATCATCTCCCTCGACCTGCTGGCTACACTTCTTTTGATGCAGCCCAGAATGTGGTTGTCTCTTCAGGCTGCAAATGGGCACTGCCAGGTCATTCTGAGCTTCTTGTCACTCAATGCCCCCAAGTGCTTCTCCTCAAGGCTGCTTTCAACCCATTCTCCACCCAGCCTGTACCTGTGTTTGGGATTGCCCTGACCCAGCAGGACCTTGCACTTGACCCTGTTGATCTTCACAAGGTTCACACAGACCCACCTCTCCAGCCTGTCAAGATCCCTTTTGATGGCATCCCTTCCCTCCAGCGTGTCGGCTGCACCACACAGCTCAGTGTCACCAGCACACTTGCTGAGGCTGCTCTCAGTCCCACTGTCCATGTCACCAACAGAGATGTTAAACAGTGCCAGCCCCAGTGCCTACCCCTGAGGAACATGAACTAACTCCTCACTGGTCTCCATTTGGATTTAGAGCCACTTACCACTACATTTTATGAAAATCCAAGAAGCTCAAGGCTTTTAGTTCAGTCTGTCTTAATTGGTATTATTTTAATTATGGGAAAGTATGCACAGCAAAAATATCTTCTATTCTAGTGCCTGCAGGTTACATTGAGGTGGGATGTTGTCTCCTGTTGAACCAAGATTTCCTCTCTTTCTCCTCCTATGTTTTTTCAGGGAATTATGTACCGTTTAAATGCTGCTTATCTAACTTATTTTTGCAGTACCTTTGTCCTACTGGAAGGTTAAAGTTGGAGAAGGAAATACTTGCTCCCAAGAAGCAGAAACTGAACTCTCCCAAAAGTTTGTAATGTAAGATATTATTATCTCTCTTTTACTGTGGTTTGTTGAAGCTTGTTTTCTTTCATGTTTTGTAATAAACTGTGGCATTTAACAATGTCTTCAATAACCTAACTAAATTTTTTTCTTCTTTAGATGCCAATGATTCATTTTTTTTGTGTATTCAAAGAATTTGTTTTTTCCACTATCAAAACTACAGTTTCACACAAAACCAATTCCTAGTTAAACCCTCCTTTTACTCTAGCATTTATTCAATGAGCAGTTGTTTATTGTTTTGCAAGCAACAAAGTGAACTTGTTTATCAAATAATAGATATATTTAGATATCTTTCATAAAACTTCATCCCTTTTGTTTGGTTAATAAGGAGAAGAAAGTCCCTTAAATACAAAAGCAGTTTCTTGGATGATGTGTTGCTTGTTTTTTAAAATAGGTTGGCAAAATGAGACAGACATGTCAGGATACTGTAGTTACACCAGTCAAGGCCATTCTATGCCCTAATTTTCCCTGTAGAGAGCATAATCCTCTGGGTTCATTCAAGGCAGGAATAGCTCTGATGAACATTTCCAGGTCACATATATCAGATGTTTGTGCCTAAACGATCAAGCATTGCCACTTGTGCATGTCTGATATTCAAGCTTGGTGTAATTTTTCATGTTAAGCAGGTGGTATGTTCTGGGAAAACAAAACATCATGTTTCTTCAGTGCATCCTGACCTTTTCAGCCACCCTTTCTTTGGAAGATCTGACACAGACTAACAGCGCCTGCCCCATCTGACATGACAGCATCAGTGCCTCTTTCAGAAGGGGTTTCTTCACAGTAAATGTGTTTCTGTTTGTTCCAGTAAATCTGGTAATGCCAGAAATGAATCTTTTCCAGTCTGGTTTCCTAGATGCATGACTGCGGAGGGAGGAATTTAAACAGAAACCAGAGCTGCTGACTATTCATCAAGGAAATATTTTATATACACAGTTAGGATTCCTTTACCAAGCTTGTACATTAGTATATTCAATTTATTTTATGTAGAGCTTGCTTCCCAAATATTGTTCAGTCCGATGTCTGGACAAGGACTTCCCCTGCCCTTGTTTTTCATCAAGCAATGGAGTAAAAACTTCTCATCTCTCATATTAACTAACTGCTTCCTATATGGTGGAGCTGCAAAACTTACATATCATCACCCTTTATTTCCTACAAGTTACAAGAAATTTTATTTATATTAAAATTTGATGACTTGAAGAAGTAGGAAAACATATTGTTTACTAACAGTGTTTGAAAGTTTTTTTCAGTCCTTAAAAAACAAATAAGGTTCTCATACATGCTCTGTGGCAACTCATAAAAAGAATGTGCAAAATGCAGTGAAAGCAAAGCCTGGATGAGGTCCTGACATGTTGGATACTATGTCTTTAGCCAGACAAAACTTTCATTGGCTTTCATGCACTAGAAAGAACATGTATGGTGCCAGTTTATCATCTCAGCTGCACCAGTCCACAGTCCTGAAATTACACTTCTTTCAGCTGCAACTCGAATTAGAACTGATTTCAAGTAGCAAGGACATGTATTACAGGCTTGTGGTTCAAAATATTTCAGTAAGACTACTTTAAAGCATTGAGATTTTGATCCAAAAGATGTAGAAAGCAAAAGAGTTAATATATTTTACACTTATTTTCATCAAGTTCAGTGACAAGTAAAATCTGAGCTCATCTGCCAAGCAGACAGCTCAGCTCTGTAATGATGGAAGATGGAACCTGTTCATTTCCTTGCATTCCTCATTATGGCCAACAGTTCATTTTCTAAAAATATGACCGTGGAAAAAGTTAGAAATGTTTCAATTGATTCAGTTCTCATTTATAAGTCAGGAATTTACTCCACAGCTATAAACAAAGTCTCAGAATTTTGCAATCGCGTAAATCAGACTATAACTTGTACTCTACATTTATGTTTTCCTGAATAGTCTTATATTACTTTAAATGTATAAATTCATCAGTACTCAGATTTTGCATTGCTTTGCATGACTTTATATCTAAAATCTACAGCAAGGAATTTATCAGGGGAGCAAAAGTCAATATCAAAATTCAAATCATTAAAACTGAAAGGATCTTCTGCAGCTTCATTTAGTTTCTGTGACTTATATCCTAAAAAAAAAAAATAAAAAAAATAGTAGCTGCAAATAATATATTACAACAAAGCCTAATAACTTTGCCTCTCATTCAATCTCAGTTTAGTTGTTTTGCTTGGAGTCTCAGTACATGAAATTTTATCTATAAATCAAACTCTTGGAAATAAACTTGCTGAAATCACAATCAGAGTCAAATATTTATGTGATGATTTTTGTGAGAAGTTCAGTAAATATGTTGTCATCAGTTAAAGTCTCAAGAAAACATCTTGGGGTTTTTTTTCTCTTCAGCTTGGAAAAATATGATTCAGTCATGGACAAGAAAATTATGCTTGAAAAAACAGCTTCCTAGCAGGTCTGCACAGGAGCACCTTCACTGTGCTGCCCAGTTTTAAAAAAATTCATAGTGTGCTCGTATTTCTTTGACACGTCTCACAGTTGATACTTGGATAGTCTTTTAAAGACTCCATCTGTCTTCCTTCCCCATACTGATCCCATTTGTTTCTCTTCATCCCTCTCTCCTCCCTGCTTCCCTATATTTTGTGAAATTTAAGCTTGATTGTTTCTTGCTTTTCATCTTAATCATGCTGTCTTCTCCCAGCCACAAACATTCAGATTCCATTTCCATACCCTTTTTTATTGCCTTCTTCTCACATTACTTGACTTCACACTTTTCCTTTCACTTCCTGCCTTGTTCACCATTCCCGTTCTCATTTCCATACAGTCTTAGCACCTCTCCTAATTTGCAGCTCCCTTGTTTGGCCTAGGAGGGCTTCTGCACTCATGTCCTTTGCCTTGGATCACATCTTGCTTGTTTAGGTACTGATACTTTGTGCCAACAGCCATTGTCCTGATACTGGCTGATGGAACCCCTTCAGTTCTCCAGTAGTCTCTCTCTTCCCTTGACTTCTGAGGTCTTTGGGTCCTTGTTTTCTACTTCCATATATTGACTAGCAATTGACCATTGTTCCCAGGGAGTACTGCAGCATAGGTAAACCCATGGCTAAATAAATAAATGGGTACAGAAACCAGGATCTTCATGAGAACCTTTCCTAAGTCTGAGTGTACCTCACTTGGGATGGTTAGGTTCGCACACCGGCTATTAGTTTGGTAAGGTCTAAAGAGATTTTAAAGATTCTTTGAAATAAAGGGTGCTGTGTAAATCTAGATTAATACATTTTTCCTGCAGGTAATATTTATGTTAATTTTGCCATTTTTCAGGTTTCCAGGGAAAGAACAGCTACTGGCTTAGTGTTTAACTCTGCATATTTACATAACGCTTTTCCACGTTACTCCTCATTCTGAAGAAATAAAGCATGCTTGTTTAAAAAAAAAATTATAAGGCACATTCCTGTAAATTTTCATTTTTAACCTTTTCCATGCTTTCTATTTATATTACACAAATACAAAGGTAAAAGCTCAGCAAATCTATGCAACTGCAGTAAAAGCAACTGCAACTTATTTATTCTACTTATGTTCTCATTGGCTGTTTCAGAAACTCACTTCTTTGAGAGTGAGAAAGTTTTTAAATTCCAGTGTAAATTCATGCTTTATTCTTCATGTTCTACGTCTCTTTCCTCTGCACAGATGATTATTCTGGCTGTGTTTCAAGAAAAGAACTGTCCATCTTCTCTACTTCTGTTTATCTAGATTTGATAAACTGTGTAATTTTGTTACAGTTACCTAAGTTTCCACAGACATGGGAGAGCTGAGCTGTTCACATTTTTTCATTTTGAGTATGTATTCCAGGCTGTGTGGAAAAAAAAATTAATACATTCCCTTGAAAGTGCCCTTCTTAATACATCCTACATTTGCCTAGGTGTTTGACTTTTTTCCTGGAGATTTAGTTGTTTTGTTTAACCAACTTGATTGACTCTTGAAATGGGACAACTGGATAGAGGAGAGCAGTGAATGTTGTCTACCTGGACTTCAGCAAGTCTTTCAACACGCTCCTGTGATATCCTCACAGGCAAGCTCAGGAGCTGTGGGCTGGATGAGTAGACTGTGATGTATTTTGAGAACTGGCTGAATGACAGAGCTCAGAGGGTTGTGATCAGTGGCACAGGGTCTAGTTAGAGGTTTGCCACAGGTGGTGTCTCCCAAGGTTCAATACTGGGCCCAGTATTGTTTATCTTATTCATCAAATACTAGGATGAAGGGCAGATCCCTCCTCAGCAATTTCACTGAGCACACAAAGCTGGGAGCAGTGGCCGATACCCCAGAGGGCTGTGCAGCCCTTCAGAACAGGCTGGAGAGATGGGCAGAGAAGAACTGCCTGAGATTCAACAAAGGCAAGTGCAGGGCCCTGCACCTGGGCAGGAATAACCCCATGGGCCAGCACAGACTGAGGGCTGAGCTGCTGGGGAGCAGCTCTGTGGAGAAGGACTGGGGGTCCTGGTGGACAGCAAACTGTCCCTGAGCCAGCAGTGTGTCCTGGTGGGCAAGAAGGACCATGGGATCCTGGGCTGCATTAGGGAGAGCATGGCCAACACGTCAAAGGTGGGGATCCTGCCCCTCTGCTCAGCCCTGGAGAGCCTCACCTGGAGGGCTGTGTCCAGTTCTGGGCTCAGTACAAGAAAGACAGGGAGTTACTGGAGATGGTCCAATGAAGGTCTGTGCTGATGATTAGGGCACTGAAGCATCTTTCTCATATGGAAAGTGTGAGTCCTCCTTCTTTGCCCTTCTTGAAAACTGGGAAAATGCTCGAAAGTCATTGAGAGAGGCTTGGTGATGACATCAGCCAGCTCCTCAAGGATCCTCAGATCAGGCTCCATAGATTTTTAGGGATCCAGCTGGAGCAGCAGATCACACACAAGTTCAGGGTCAGCCCTTTAAAATGCTCTTTAAAAAATTGTAAGAACTAATGTGTCAATAATGCCTGGAATTGTATGGATTTTTAACATATAAAAGAGAAACCAACTGCACCTGTCTGAAAAGCCTAAAGGAATCACTTAAGATTTAGAATAGACTTAAAATAGCCTTATTCTGTGCTTTTTTCCATAAAGAATGAAAAGTAGTTTGCAACATATCAGGTAACTCCCCAGTCTTCTGTGATTTAGAATGCTATTCCATTCTAAGTATTCATAGACATAAATGATGATGATAATATTAATATTATTATTAATAATAATCGTAATAAGGAGGAGGAGAAGAAGAAGAAGAAGAAGAAGAAGAAGAAGAAGAAGAAGAAGAAGAAAAAGAAGAAGAAGAGGACTTCCAGTACACATCTGTTGTGTTTCAGACTTGAAGTCAGAACAACAAAGACATCAGCGCAGCTGTAAGGGTCACTTGCATAGCAGGCTGAGTCAATAAACAGGAATATTTAATCATGAGTAGAAGTTGTGAGTGACAAACAGGACAAGCTGTATAAGGAAAAAGAATCCCTACATTACAGGAGGTGGTATAAAAGTACATTCTGAGAATTTTCTGATTCCCCTGTGAAAGAGTCACTAAACTTTTTATCTGGGAAGGTTGAGTCATCCTGTTCTAAGTGAACTAAAGTTTGTTTTGGAGAAATTTGTGCCTGGTATTGTTTGTCTTTTCATTTTTCATATCATGATTTTCCATTTGGGTTGATGATAGAGCTGACAATTTGGAGATAGTTAGGGAATAAATGTATAGCACTTGCAATTTGAGCAGAGGAAATAAAAATAAACACTTTGTTATTGCAGGTTTCTGATCTTAATACTACAACAGAAAAGTTCAAAAGCTGATTAGGTAAGATCCAGATGACTAGTACTACTAGAAGGTAAGCCTTATTAGGTCCATGCCTAAAAACAAAAATTCTATTAAAGACTACGTATTTTTTAAGAATTAATCAGATTTAGAATTTGTTTACATTTCATAGTTCATGAAACTAAAATAACCACATGCAAGATACTCAGGTACTAAGAACAAACAAAAACAATGGTACTATAGAAAAGGAGAAAAAGGCCTAATGCAACCTCTTAGCAATTGTTAGGAATTTGAACTTCAGTTTCCAGCTTCAGAAGCTCACATATATTCCAGTAATTGCCATTAAAATCATTTACTGCTCCACTAACCAATATTGTCTAAGACATCCCTTAGAACAACTGTTTAAATCAGTATTGATAAAAAATCCTTGCACAATAAAAATTGGTCTTTTCCTAAAATTTTACCTTGAGTTTGGCCTTAAACAAAGCTCCTCTACTGTATCAGTAGAACACAGGACATGGATGAAACCCATGTCAGAGAAGCAATCAGCTGAAAAAAGTAAGAAAGAGGCAGACATAGATTCCCTCCCAGCATTTAGGCATAGCCTCACAGTTATTTTGGTATATCAGTATGGTGTATTGAAGGATGTTGTGCAGCTAGGCTCAAATATAATCCCTTGACCTTGTACTGGTAGGGGGAAAGATTTCACTGTTATTGCCTTGTGCTTTTCTTGCTAGAGGCAGAAAAGATTTCTGAGGTTTTTCTGATCCCACTTTTCACTTGGACCACATTAACTTTAAAACAAATAAAAATAAACAAATAAACCAGAAAGTTTGTTTTGTACTAAAAAAACCAGAATCTATCATAAATTTTATTATCAAATTATAGTGAAAATTCTCTAAGCATTATTGCCACATTTTTACAGGCATGTAGAGGAAGAATCCCCGGTGTTTTGGTTCCAAATGCTCCAGCCTTAGAGGATGTTAAAAATTAAATAGAATAGATGTTGGAAATGCCCAAGGCATAAAACCCTAGCATAGCTTTTTCAAAAATAATTTCTAATCTAGTTTGGTTTGTTGGTTTTGTTTCTTTTTTATACCTTATCAGAACATGCATCAAACTTCTTGGTATTCACACAGAACAGGAAGTTTATAAGCTTATGTGTTCAAGGCCAGGTTGGACGGGGCTCTGAGCAAGGTGTCCATGCCCATGACAGAAGGATGGGATTAGAATTCTCAAGTGTCCTTTCCAACCCAAACCATTCTATGAAGCCTAGAGGAGGACAAAAAGAAATACACACCTTTCTGCTTTTCACTGGTTGGAATCAAATACCTTGGGACCAGACCCATGGAATTATCACAATGGAATTCAATATGAAAGGAAAAGAAACCTTATTCAGGTAAGGTTTATTATTCTGTTTCTTTACATCTTTGATAGTTGAAGCAAGCATTTCAAAGATATAGAAAAGGAAGACTCTCCAAAGTAGATAAGTCCCTTTGGAAAAAGCAAGCATGCAGCTAAACAAATGTAATGAATCTTGTTTCTTGCCATATAAAAACCTTAAAGCTTATGCTACCTAGCAGCCTACTTCTGGAATATAAGATATCAATGTCAGCTAACACAGCAGGCTGGAGAAGTAAATTCTGTGATGTCAAAGATACAGCACTTTTTATAACTGAAGTAAATAAAATTAATTTTAAGGCCAAAAATTATTTAGCAGTTGTGCAAAATTCATAGTACTAATTATTGTTTCAGCAGAGTGGTTGGGGGGTCCAAGCAATGCTTTGGCAAAGATCCTGCATGGAGGGATCACTGCCAACAGCAGCTGTGCAGTGACAAGTCTGGAATGTCCTCTGAGTAAGGCTGGCTGCAAATCTCTAAGGGCTCTGAGAGGGGGAGGTTCTTTAATATCTTGAGAAATATGAAAGCTCCATTCAATAATTAAAAAAAAAATCATTAGTCATAAAAGAAGGAAACATGAAAATAACCTTGTTACAATGTCGCTGTTTATTCACCCTGGAAAAACATATTTCATGTGTGTTCAGTACGCTTCCTCTAAGCTTCGCTTTTTCTGATGAGTAGCTTTATGAGGTTAGGGTTCACATAGCAGATCAAAGTTTAGTAAGTTTGACTGCATTCAGGATTTCAACATTCCTATAATGAAATATAGCTTCATATTCCTACACACCATAATACAGTATTCCAACTTCCTTATTGGCCAGAATTAGGGTTTTCCATATATTTCAGAAGTGTTACTGTGCTATGTGAACACCCAATTCTGCTCTCTAGGCTCAATACAAGGGGTCACTGATTGAGCAATGAGGTTAATTACTGTAACATCTGTATCAGTCTACTTCTCAGATACATAAAAACAACTTTTGTACTAATGTCCTGCTTTGCTGTTTTGAAATCTAGTAATAGAAAATTCCTTAAGTTGTCTTCATACAAAATCTTAAATCTACACCACAAAAACCTTTAGAAGAAAAATGACACAGAATAAAGGATAATATATTTACCTGGGTCTTCCATAAACTCTTATTTTAACTGTATCATTTAAGTAACAAAACATAATTCCTGTTAATGAACTGGAACTACTTTAAGATGCAGTGGTGTTCAAATGCAAACCAGATATATTCAGGAACAAAGGCCCCATTTAGAAACTGAAGTTCAGCTGTCTTAAGTTTGAAACTTCAAGTATTTAGTGCAGAGTGATCTTCATTCTATAGGTTTCAATGAATTGTTAAAAAAAAAAATTAAGGCATTTTCTCCTACATTTGATTGAGTGATTTTTAATAAAATTCTTCTACAAAATGATGCCCTACAAGACTACATGTATCAGTTTAAGCATTTGCAAATGGCATCAGCTATGTCTTGACAACACATTCACAACCAGCCTAAGAACAGACCCCTCCATCGCAAGACAGTGGTCACACACCAAGGCTACCAGCTCCAGCTCTTCTCTCCAAAGTTCACACTGACAGCCACTAAAAAAGTGAGATGTGGCTTAGGTCTAGATTAAACATTAGGAAAAACTTCTTTACTGTGTGGGTGGTGAGACACTAGCGCAGGTTACACAGTGAAGTTGTGGTAACACCTCCTGTCCCTGGAGGTCAGATGGAGCTCTGAGCAGCCTGGTCTAGTAGAAGGTGTCCCTGTCCACAGCAGCTGGAACTGAATGATGTTTAAGGTCCCTTCCAATCCAAACCATCCTATGATTTTATGAATTCTCTTTTAAAACTGCAACACAGTTTGTTTGCAAGTAATTTTTTTTTAGCTCAGATGTATTTGCATATAGAGTATTACAGAAGTCTGAAATCCATTACTTCATTGAAAAGAATTGCAATCTTTCTGCTCGCCTCCTGCTGAGATTATTCATGTTTGCACTAATGCCGCATTTTAAAACTTTAAATGCAAGAAAATTCTAAGTTACAATATTAATTATTATCTAATATCTAGTGTCATCCTTGTTTATTCTTTCTAGCATCAGGGAGTTCTACAGGACCTTAACATCTAATAGACAATGAAACAGTGTATATTCAAGAGGTTGACCTTCAATTATATTGACCACAACCTCACCAGAATTGCCAGGTTTTCAGCACTAACATCTTCATGCAGGTGCTACAAGTGAGAAGTATGTGATCATAGTTTCAGCTTTGCAGAGAGAACTAATTGACTTTCACACAGGATTTAGATTACTGCGAAATCTGACTTTGTTCCACTTGGTAACAAAAGTCAAACATTCCATAATTATCTGTGAAAGGCAGTGAAGCTTCAGCATGGGAGCAGGTCAGCCCCTGGGCTTCCCCAAAAAATTAGTAGTGTGAGTGCTGTTTTCTTAAGACAGGTTAGGAAAGGGATTGCCTTGAAGGCTGCCCCTGATGGACCTGTCCCAGAGCTGCCTACTTCAGCTGCTGGAGCCCCAGACCCATTCCAGCTGTGCAGCTTCCAGGCTTCTAAGGGACCCAGAGGAAAATACCAGTGTCGCAGAAACAGATTTCAATCTGCCTGAGCCAACAAATTCCTACCAGAAAATGTTTAGTCAGAACTTTTCCAGTCTCTTCCATTTGTAATTAAAGGCTTATGTTTTACTATAAAAGTGATTATTTTGCTGTGCGCAGCATGTGTCTGGGTACCAGTGCGGTCATTTGGATATTAGGAGAGGTGGGATCCCAACTTTGAACCATAAAATACCAAAGAAATTTCCTCTTGCTTTAGAATTCCTTCCCATAACTGAAATGAAGCTCAACATTGCTTATAATATCTTCAACACTGGCACAGGATTCTGAGAGGGAAACACATCAGAAAAGGTGCCAGTCTGTGGCAGGAGCAGTAATGGCCTGGACCAGGCCAGGCAGGGAGCACCTGAACCCTGGTCATACAGAGGACTTTGTGTAATATATGGCATGAATTTCTCTCTTGTACTGATGAAGGAGAACTGTTCCAAAAATAATGAAATACAGGTAATGAAAGGTAATTCTCTTACCTTTGAACATGCCACTTTTTTGTTATGCCATATGCCACTTTATTGTTATGTAAGAGTGATGGTTATGAAAATGTGAATATGCTTTTCCTCCTCACAACTAGAAAATTGGCATGGCCCAATAGGATGCAGATGTAAAACATGCAAGCCAGATATGGCTTTAAAACCATACAGTGTCACAGACATTTTTTCATAGAAATCCTTTCTTTGGGATTTGTTTATCTTCTGGGATGCCGAGGCCCCAGAAAGAGAATGTAAGCAATAATTATCAGCTGATGTGGAATGTAACAGGTGCATCTGTGATTGGTCTTCTGTGAGTGTTTGGATTTGCTGACCACTCACGGGAGAGTTTGTCCTTGCTTTCTGCCGGTCACAGAACTTTGTTATTCATTCTTTCCTATTCTATTCTTAGCCTAGCAGCTTCTGCAAGTTTTCACTCTATTCCTTTTAGTATAGTCATAATGTATTATATATCATATATTAATAAATCCAGCCTTCTGATCATGAACCAAGATTCTCATCTATCTCTCTCACCCTGAGGAACCTCACAAGTCACTGCAATACATACAGTTCCTTCCATGTTCTTTTTAACCTGTAAAATGCACAGAGAAAGAAAAATACAGTGTAAAGTATGCACATCTTTTGGGATACCCAGCAAAAATCCTTATGGACCATCTATGGAATCCCTTTCTGTTAAAAAATTAAAAATATTAAGATGAAAGTTTTAAAATAGGAGGTTAAATTTTTTTATCAAATAAAGTGGCAGTGAAAAGCATCTCCTACTCCTGTAATCTTTTGGAGTATTTTAGGAATACATTTTTCTTTTTTAGTTGGTGGACTTTTTTTCCCTGAATGGGCAGTTACATATTTTTATGGAAAAACATTTTATTTCATAGCCATTATCCAACTCTTGTATGGTACTTGTAATATATGGCATCTGTAAGATGTATATTGGGAGCAAAACTGCCAGTCACAAAACAGGAAGCACTTAAAGAAAATACATTAAAGGCACAATACATCTCAGTGCAGCATGCTGCAGAAGCTGCTCTCCCAAAATGCCCATTGCATTAACTTGCTGTCTGCAACAACAGTTTACATATCATCCCTTACTGAGTTGGTCAGTGGCTGCGAAGTCACAATGGAAACACATTTTATCTTGTACTGTGGACTTAGTGTGGGACTCTTATCAGAGTTGCAAGAGACTAAGAAAAATAGGGCCCCATTAACTAGCAATTGCTACCTTGCTAATTGCTAAATTGCTAACACGTGTAACTTGTTTGACTGTGGTCAGAACTCAGTGCTCTTCACATGCAGTTGACCACCTTTGTCACTTTTTAAGTACTAAGGAAGGGAGATGTGAAGAGGCAACAGCAAGTAGTCAGATTGTATCCTTCAAGTAAGGACATAGATTTGATAGGGCTGAAGCTGCAGGGAAGACAATTTTACTGGTTTAGACATTTTCCCTTGAGGTACCCATATAAAAGTAGATTTATTTTCATTTGTGAACACATTGTGTAATGTCTCCTATTCCTGCCCAGTGAAGAACACTGTGCCCTATCCACTGCTTTTTCACTAGACAACTAGGTCCTTTTCCAAAGAATGTGCTTCCACTCCCCTGTAGGACTGGAACTCAGCCTGTCAACCTGCCATGTGTTCAAGGTATTAAGAGGAAAACAAGGTGTACCATTTTGGGGAAAGTCTGAACACTTCCCATGGAGTTCAGACACTCACCTCACCTCCCAAGTAAACCCTTATTAGATAACTGAGATGGATAAAAATAACTTGGCTAACAACAGTTCAGTGCCTCCTCTATGTCATGTCAAACCTTACAAAATAATGAGGTATCCCTAGAGGTGGTGGAGGTGGTGGTGGGATGAGTTTGGGCTTTGGTGGAGAGATAGTAAATCCACCATTCACCTGAACTGGTAGCTTTACTACTTTGCTACATCTTTCATGGTCAGGACTTCTTTTTGATGTGCTCATTATGCTGTTTTCCAT